CAACCATTTTTAGCGTAAGCGAGGACGGACCAGAATGACCTAGAGGCTCCCCTAAACTCAGTTTTGACATGCCTACTAGCTCATCAACATTTATCGGGCTCTTTGAATGTACTGCCGTTGGCTTCAGAACCTCGTGTTTATCCGTCATAGTGGGCTCGGTAGTGTATCCAGACCACAAGGGATAAGGAATCGGGAAAGGTGAGAAATAAGCAGGATATACCATTGGGTAATATGACACTGAGGTATCGGGATTTGGAGCGGCCGGTTCTCCATCTGAGTTGGTGGAATCCATTGATTCGCATTCTTCATCCAAAGGTGGAGGAGCAGGCAATGGATTATTGCTTTGAGTTTCAGCTTCTGGATAGTTACCAGGTAAGAGGTCCAGTGGTTCCATTTGGGTTTCAACTGACTGCAGAAAATTTTTCGAGATAGCAAATGTAAATATCGTATCAACAAAAAAATGAGAGAATTATGCATTGCGATGCAGATTAATTAAAGTATGGACCTTCTAACCAGACAAATACTGCACTCAAATATCAAGAGACTCAAGACAGAAGTATAGGTTCTTTATACACGCAATGGACATGACCTTTTAAGTTTAAAGAATCAAAATAAACAGTCAACACAAATTGGTGAGCACACCATACAGTGTTAACCATAGGACGGAAGAAGCTCAAAATAGTAAATAGTTCATGTTGCGTGCTTGAATGTGAAACACATACACTTACTGGTTATGCAAGACGGAAAAAATACTTACATCGTCTGCTACAATATCAAAGAGGCTGGAACGTCTTTTTCTCCTTGACACATTAGTCTGCCTAATAAAATATTTCTGAGCATGGCTAGCCACTTGAGTAGGTGTTCTTGATATGACGTAATTGCGAGCTATTCCACGCCAATCACCTTTACCAAGCTTCTGCAGTCCAAGCAAAAACATCCTATGTTCCTCTTCAGTCCATGGAGTGCCTACAAGAGAAAAAAGGAAAAACCAAATCAGTCAAGACAAAAAGGAAAACTTCGTTCAACTCCTTACATAAGATCCTTAGGTTTTCTTGAAAACATATAACGTTGATAATGACGTAAATTTAAGAACAACTAACGAAGAATTCTTGTGTAATAAACAGACCATCTTCATACGAAAAAGAACAGATAAATAGTATATAAATAACTGTATGTTTAGTCAAATGCTGGTTCAGACCACATGATCGAACATTCTGGAAAATATATTGCACTAAATCTGAAAGTTTCCAACGCCTCTATTGCATATCAAGTGACCTCTCATACTGAATGAGATGATTAATTAGGCATACTATTAAATGAAGTCCAAAATACCCGCGAAATATCCGCGAGAGGAGGGTCACGTATCTAAAGCCCTTAAGCTTAATGACTATACATTTGGCTATGGTAGCACCCTCGTAGTTGGGAGAACTTCTTAAAAAGATGCCTTTGGTTTCTGTTGCTGTTGCTGTTCGTGTTGCAAACTTGCACAATACTTAACTATTAACTGCCATAGTTCCTTCACCTACCAAAACTAGAATAGCTTCACCGGCGTTTCGCCCCCTCTAGAGAACCAAAATTCAGAGAGCTAATTATGCAGATGACATTTTACCGCCTTGGCGGAAAGCATTAATATCTATGCAACCTGCTGCAGGTTCGACCCCGATCCCCCTCCCACCTAACATTTAACAATTCAACCCCTACTATAATTAGCAAAAAAATTAATCCATTTTTGCTAATTGCAAAGCACCCTACTTTAAGTTAAACAGTAATAATAAAACAGTAAACTCCAAAACTATAATTACAGTGATGCCAAAAATAATCAAACATAATATACAGAATCCAAATCAAATATTTCCCCGAAAAGCATACCGTTTATGTTTAAACTAATTCAATTCCAACTCTAAACCCCATATAATTAACCAAAACATATATCAAATGAGAATCCAAGCATAAAACCACAAACCCAAATGATTTGAATCCAAAACTAAGCAAAATGAAAAAAGAAATTAATTCAAAGATTAAGATCAGAAAATAAAAGTGAAAAGTAAAAAATGAACCTTTTTTGCGTTCGCGGCTCGAAGACGATCCGGGCACGAAGTCCTCAGAGGCATAGCCATCGGCAGTGGCATGGTCGTTGGTGGTGTCGCCGGGAGAATCCGGATTGTTGGGGAGGAGACCCGAACCCGACCCGGCATAGTGAGTCAGATTGCCCATGCTAGCGCTCTTTCTGATGGAGCCGTCGGTCAATCGTACACCGAAGAGCTTGACCCCTCGGTTCGGACACGTCCGCGAGTTGTGGCCATTGTGGCTGCAATGCGAGCACCTCCGAGTCATCGGTAATGCAGAAAATGGAATCGGATGGGGAGAGTTGGGTTGGTCGGATCGGAGGATCCGGATCACTTGATCCGAAAACAGAGAGGTGGGTTGGGGTCTGCGCGAGGATTGGGAGTTGGGTTTTGCGTCGATTTGCTGTTTCGTTTTGTGAATTCGTTTGTTTGTTCTTCTTCTCTTTCGGACCCTCGAGTTTCGCAGAGCAGAGGAGAGAGAGAGGGAGAAGCAGAGAGAGAGAGAGATGGAGAACAAGTAGATTGATTTTTTTTTTTTTTTTTTTTTTGAAACGAGAACAAGTAGATTGATGAGTAAAACACTATCCATATGTATCGTGGCGTGGATAAAGAGGAGACTATATGCTGTGTCGCAGGATGGTTTTGGGAAAAAACATTTCGAAATATCAATGGTTAGAGATCTAACTGATTTTTTAGAACTTCAAATCTTATATAAAATTCGTACCACTGCGTTTTAAAATAATTTCAAGTTTAATTTTTAGTTTATTATTATAATTTATGATATGATGAAATCTTATAATTTTTTTATCATATCATAAACATACAATACTTACATAGAATTAATATAAATTGATGATCAGATGTTATTTATGTCATGATAAATTTCGATTAATACAATATTTTACAAGAAATTGTCCACTCTCACATCTAGAATTAATATAATCACTATTAACGAGTAGATGTTACGTTTGTTATGATAAATTTCGATGTGTTAATACAAGACTACAAGAAATTGTCTACTCACGCATCTACGAGACTTTGAAACGCGAAGTTCACACGTATGTTTTACCACTTTACATTTAAAGTAGGACAAATTAATTGGGAGACTATTTAGGAAAGAAGAACTCCATTGAGAATCCACCAATTCCATACGTCAAATCTTGTTTTTTTTCTTATCTAATCCTTTTTGTCATTGTTGGCAATTTCGATGGCCCACCCAACTTGAGATAAGTTTTTTTCAGACTAGTTTGACTTTTGACACATCAAAATGAAAGGTTCCAATGTTATCAAATCCTTTTAGTTGATTTGATTTTTTTCCCTTTTTTTTTTTAAATAAATGATAATATTTATACTCAAAAAATTAAGTAGAATATTAAATATCATAATGAACTAACCATAATAATGTTATTCAAATTCACTTTTAGTGAGAATCAAATCTAAAATTTCTCACTTATAAATAAAGAACAATACCAAAGATAAAAATCACATATATTTTATTTTATATGTGCTAATAAGAAGCGAAAAGTCAAAAAATAAAATAAATTTTCATGGTTTAATAAATTCAAGAAAACCAATAACAACATTGCACTGGGTTATGTATCAATTCTTTCGTTAGATCCAACTACTTTAAGTATTTTCTTAAGAGTCTCTTCTAACATCTTTCTAGGTCTTTTTCTACCCATTCGGCCTTGAACCTCAGTCCTGTAATCGCATATTCTAACCGAAAAGTCGATAGGCATTCATTTCACATATCCAAACCACCATAACTGATTTTCTCTCATCTTTACTTCAATTTCGACTACTCCTACTTTACCTCGGATATCTTTATTCCTAATATTATCATTTCTTGTGTGCATACACATTCAACGAAGCATTCACATCTCCGCTACATCCATTTTATATACATGTTGATACTTCACCGTCTAACATTCGGTGTCATAAAGCATTGTCGGCCTATAAAAAAATTTCATGAACTTCAGTGATATATAGTACAAATTTGCCATCTTATTAGAGTAAGATACTCTTATTTTTAACCGGATTGAAATCCTAGTAATTTTTTTATTGATGCCTGCAATAATTGGACCCTATCCTCTTATGTACTTTTTTATTTTTCTACTTTATCGATGAATATCGTACCTTTTTTTTTAACTAAAACAAAACATAAAATGAATGAATTAACGTCTTATCCTAACCGTCCTATGAAGCTGGAATCAAGTGTATGCAGATGAAAAAGGACCAAGATCCAAACGCCACGTGGAACGCGAGGGAGTCGGTGTTTGGTGGCATATTCTTCTCTTGCGTGTATCGTACATTAAAATAAAACCTTATCCAAAAACCCATCGTTCACAATTATCTTTGCCCACTTTTAATTTTATATAAAATAAATGGGATCCCCATTGAATCTAAACTTTTAATCAACGGCTCTGATCGATCCCGCCGAAATGGACCATCCGACACCAGATTAATTCCGGCGACCTAGCAGCATGTCATGCTCATTTGCTTTCCAACCAACAAACACCAAAAATAGGTAGACAATTCACAAATTTTCATACTCCCCAACCATGTTCATTACCTCCAAGCTCCAACCCAATATCAGTTGAAATTTTTACTCCTAAATTTAATAATAATATCAATTCTGTACCAATCACTATTGGACACTACATCATATGAATCAGACAAATTGACAATTCATTAACGGTTTTGATTATGACATTTGTCCAGTACAATATTGTGACATAATCATATAAGAAAGACCAAGTATCAGTACTCCTGCTTCTATTAATGAAAAAAATTTTAAGTTCAAATCCCCGTACAACTTCTAAAATGAAAATGAAAATTTTCACGTTTAGCAGAACCCAACTCCTCTTTTACAGGAGATGATGGTTTTAAATTTCATCAACCAGATGGTTGAATTACTCGAAATCACTTAACATGTTGTGACCGAAATTTAGTCTCCAAATTCCTTCGATGTATTCTTCTCAATCCATGAAAAAAAGTATACAGAACTTCAACATGTTAATAATAAAAGCACTTATGCCACAAGCGCTTATGAGCTGAAGTGCTTTTTAGAGATACAATCCCAATACAAACAATAGCAATTTGTTTCCAGTGGAATTATAAAACCAGGATTGGTAATAGACCTATTTGATTATAAGAGCCGTTTATCATCACAAAATAAAATCATCATCACGTACTGCAACTGCAAAAGACAGACCTTTTAAGTTGCATATGTAAGCCGAAAACGCTCTTCCAGGTAGTCCCCACTGCGGACGGGAGGAAATCTGCAAGCGGAATTGGTAAATATCATCTACAGGGTAACTTGATCAAAGCGGAATATGAGAAGGAAAAAACATGAAATTTTGAGGAAAGCTTTACTCATGCTCTAAACAAAATTTCACTCAAACATCCAAATAATACTCGTATTCGATGTTTTATGATTCCGCTCTCTAGAACATTGTTCACTTCACAGGAACATTTGCCTGAATAAGGATGGAGGACATGCCACGAGAAGATATCAGTGAGCCTTCCAACCTTTTCTACGAGGTGTTTTTATGGTATCATGGAACCAACTCGCCCCAACACCTTTCAACCTATCCCACATTTAGTTTTTACACAGTATCATGAAATGAACTTGGTCGATATCCTCACATTTCATTGCAATAGATATTTAGCATACGAAAATAAGGCATGAATTATACTTAACGGTCATACTGAAAAGGTAAAATATTGGTCTAATATATGAGCTTGTGGATACCCTCCCCATGCAAGTCGATCTTGTAAGCGCAAGTGTTTCCCGTGGGACATAACATTGGGAAAGCAGGTTTCACTAAGAAACTGGACTAGATTCCACGGGAGGAGTAAACAACACATTGCGTTAGAAAGCATTAGTAACATGAACTCATCAAAAAGGGAAATGACTACCATCGAGCAACCAAACTAATGTGTATAGAGTGGACCAACAAGGACGTTAGACCACCAATGTTTCTTATGTATAACATACAAAATCTTGCAGTATATGAGCTGTTGGACACCCTTCCCTTTCAAAAAGATTTTCAGTTTTGTAAGGGCAAGTTCTACATCATGACATTTAGCAAAACCAACACTATAACAGAGATAAGCTAAAGCATTGTGTTAGAAATAAAATATGAGACACGAGAGGACAGTCAAATGGGGGTTTATACCTTGGCGGTGATGCTTCACTGCAACAACTTTTCAGACATTCCACCACACAATCGTCATTGGGATCCATGAAGAAAGCCACCTGAAAATATTGAGATGTTGTTATTCAGCACTCTCAATTTGTCTTTTTCAATAGATCGTGAAGTAATAATACCATTGCATTGTGAAGTACAGTCAGTATTATGAAAAGCAAATAAAAATGGACCAATAGGCAAATGATTACAGAGTAGCGTTCTTGTCCTGTTGGCATCACTCTATGCAGTGTTGACCTACAAACAAATGACAGAAGAGCAAATGTCTGCAGTTTCAGAGTCCTAGATTTTAAAACATGTATAACCACTGTAAGAAGAAAACAGACCTTAAAGTTAATAAATTAGAAATTACCTGAACAAACAATTAGTCCACCTCTCCATCATGTCCCCAATGTTAACAATGAATGCCCTAGAGATTCAAATTTGAACACCATCAGACGGACAAAGTTACCATTCGGTTATACACAAATGCACTCTAGTAAACATGTAAGATGCTGGTAGGAAAACCAAAACAAAATACTGTTTCTTATTAATGGTCTAAAAGTAATAAAGCTATAATGATCTCTGAACTTTTAACCGCATGATCTAAATGCTCCCTATCTAACAAAGTGAATGGAACTCCATGTCCATAATTTTTTTTTAGGAAGCATATCCATATTTAAACATCATATGGCATTACATTGTTAAATGGGGTATTCCGCATAAATGATTGAAGAACATAAGGGCACACAAATTATTTAGCAATCATACCATCGTTTCATGAAAATTCAAGATCTTGAACTTACCCATCTATGTGAAGAACATCTTCCCAGATTCGAGGTTGCTTAGATTTGTCCCTACAAACCTGTTGAGTGTTAACAATAAGTCACAGAAAAGAATATCATAATTGAGCTTGAAAGGGAACCACTAGGTGTTTGGTGCTGACAAAATCCAATAAACAAAAAGCATGCCTGAAGTCCAGGAACTCCATTGGATGCAAGGAGTGTGATCATGCCATAATCTGAATGAGCAGAAGCACCATATATTTCTTCATCAGTTGATCCCAGCTCACCTGAAATCATGCATACTGAAATCATGAAAGCGAGAGAAAAAAAAAACAATAAAATACAGAAGACCAAACATACAAAAAATATTATTCAAAATATTACAAAAACAAGAAAAGAAATGGAGTGCTATGTTTTAGCTGAAGAGTGCTACTACACCTGGATAGTGCAAAAGTCGAAGAAAACCCTTTGGTTTATCCATTGCCCCCACTTTCTCGAAAAAGTCCTCATCCAGGTTTAAAGCCAGGGCAATAACAGAGATTAATCTTTTTCCAGCAGACCTGAGACAGCTTATCCAACACCAGAAGTTCATATATGGGTGGTGCTATCCACACCCCCATTTTTACTTCTCACACACCCCTCTCAATTTCCGGCCGTCGGATCGAATGAATTGAAGAAGATCAATGGAGAAAAATTAACAAGGGTATGTGTGAGGTGAAAGAGGGTGTGTGAATAGCACTACCCTTCATATACACACACACACACACACATATACGTTTATAATGAAAAGCTCCTGAACAACTATCAATTATCATTCCTGAACAACAGTTCTTACTTTACTAAGTGCAGAATGCTGGGAAGTAAATTGTTACAAAGGAGAATATAACTTACATTACTTTTCTATAGTACGATTCCACTGCAGGCCTCCAAGATGGAAGGATATCTGTATATTTCCTCAACGAAAAATTAAGAAATTATCACATAATCAAATGAAATACAGTACTCAACATCAAAAACTTCATTTTCAGGCAGGTTACATACTTAAACATTCGAAAATAGCTCCCATACCTTCTGGAGGCCATTGGTTCAAATTACTTTGAGTTGGGTCATCTAAAGGGCCAACATAAAAACTCTCTTTTGAGTCACCTATTTCACAAACGTCCCAAAATAGATAAAATCAACATCCTTTCTCCCTTTTCCATTCAGCATAACTTGAAAACTAAAGTAACGCAACCAAGCACAACAGTTTAATAGATAGTACCTGAAACATTTTTCGAATATCACAAATATATTAACACTATTCAAACTGTTAACAAGAACATTAGCGCAACAAATTGTAACTTCAACCAACATGTTATGTACATTATAATGAATTCATCAATGAACTACATAATTATATTAAAACAAATTTAAAAAAAAAAAAAACCTAGTAAATAAAAATGAAATATCAAACATATTACTTATCCTGATAATTTCAAAACAATTTCAGTAACCAGGCATGATATGATCATTGTATACTAACCCATTTTTTAGTTTAACCTCCATTTGGTTTCTTGTATTTACACTTTAATCACCAAATTTTCAGTTTTTAACTTTGTAAGCAAAGAGATTAAAGAAAAGATGAAATGGTAGGATGATTAGCAACCTTTGGAGCTGGAAGCGAAGTCGAGATTCTCCGAAAATAGTGCGGTGTAGCCTCTGTTATGCTTGCGAGAAAATTTCAACTTATCTTCCAAAGGAAGCGAAAAGAAGTTGCTGCTCCGATCGAACAGCTCTGCAAACAGCTCTTCCTCGACGCCATGATTCACCAGGTAGAAGAAACCACACTCTATGCATGCCTGTGTAAATACAAGTATGCAATAATTATAGGGATATATACATACACACACACAAATATAATTCAAGCTAAATTCAATAAAAGAAAAACTAATTTTCAGAGAAATTTGAGGTTTTGGTGTAATATTGGAAGAAGGGAGAGCGAGAACCTGACGGATTGAATTGGCGGAGGAGATGGAATCTGATGAGGACAAGTCAATGATCGGCAGGTTCACCGCCGCCGTCGTCATCTGCTTCCTTACACTTTTAGTCCTCCTGCTTTTCAAATCTCACGACAAAGAAAATAGCCCCTCGCTCAGTCAGCACTCGACCCTCGCGGGCATTATATATTTTGAAAGAGAAAAATGAGTGAGTATTTGGCTTTTTATTTTGTCTAATGATATTTTAATATAGGTTTTATTATTTTTGAAAATAATATACAATGTTATTTAATTTTTTTTTGGGTTTTATTATTTTTTAAAATAATATACAATATTTTTATGTCAAATCAGAAAACGAGTACATAGAGTGTAATAGTGAGTACTAAGTATTACTCATTCTAAATTACTCTAATTACACTAAGGAAATTCAAATCGGATGCATGATCTATCTGCCACATCTTGTTGGCAGAATAATTGTTCCTTCATACAACTCTGGTACTACATATGGTGACAAACCACTTTTCGCTTACGAATTAACAATATGCAAAAACAAAATCAGAGACCCAAAAATATGTGTGTGTAACTGGTGAGTTCGAAATTGAGTTGAACGTTTCAAATCTTTGCATGCTCTCTATTAAACCAACCACTTCATTTCTTTGTTAAATTCTCATATTTCAATCTTATTGTCATTTTCTCTATTTTGTCGTAAAGAGTAATGTTAGGAAACCGTCTATTTAAATCATATTTTGTAAATTATATGAATACTCAACTATTGATTAAAATGTTTATTTCCGAGTGCTCAAATAATTTACAAATGTGATCTAAATAGTTGGTCCACCTAGCATTACTTTTCCGAGTACAAAATACTCAATCACTGACTGTCATAACCCAGTTCCGTCTTCGTCGTAGCACGATATTGTCCGTTTTGGGCCCGGCCACTTCCTCACGGTTTTGTTTCTAGGAACTCACACGAGAAATGCTGTAGCCCAAACTCGCTTAACTTCGGAGTTCTGATAGAATCCAAAGTTAGTGAGTTCTCAAAAGGTCTTGTGCTATAGGAGGAGCATGTACATATAAGGCACATCACCCCTTCTATATTGGTCGATGTGGTATGTTACACTGATGCCTTGGTATTAGCGTCTATTAAATTAGAGAGATACATCGAGGACAAACTAAAAATTATTTTCTGTCAAGTGAGCATTTATCATTCCGATAAAAGGAACGTATTTAATGTTAAACTTGAGCTCCAAAATGTTGAAACTACAAAGACCTTTCTTTTCTTTTTCTTGAGATGAAGTATGATATTTATTGAATAGTGAAATACATACAAAATCGAGGGTAGAGTGCTTATAGAGGGCCTCAATAAAAACCTTGCGGCAGCTTTCAACCCGATCGAAGGGAAAAAGAGTGTTCCGCACCAAAATTAACGACTAGTACTATCTTTCGTGTTCCGCACCAAAATTAACGACTAGTACTATCTTTCAATAATAAATCTGAAATTACAGCAAGAGGTGCTTCGAACCAAGAAACTGGGTGATTGATAGTTAGACTAAACCCTGCAAGGCGATGGACCGCTTTGTTCATATCTCTTCGACCAAACGAAACCTTCCATTGCTTGAAGCTTTGAAGAACATGCCGTGTATCCGCAAACAGATGGCCATAATGACCATGATGCGCTGCACCTGCATTATGGATTGCAGATATCACCATAAGAGCATCCCCCTCCACCTGCACCTGTTCCGTTCCCCAGTACCGTAAAAATAGAGCTGATGCTCGTGCAGCAGCAGCCTCTACATGCAATATAGACACTGGCTATGTATTTTTTTAGTAATTTTAAAATCGTCATAATATTTTTTCTTCTTATTACGGGGTCAAAATTGGTTACTCACATGTAAACCTGTTATTAACTGACGACCCGATTAGTCATCTCAAAGATGTTACTTAATATTACTTAATATTATAAACATTGATTTGCTCGACAAATCTGGGTGACTGAACGATTTTGAAATTGAAAATGTTTTAAACGTTGATTTGTTCAACACATCTAGGTGACCAAACAATTTTCAAATCGAATGAATATTCTAAAGATGATCTTTAAAATAATGATAAAGATAATGAACAATTCTGATGATAATGTTCATACGGTGAAACATTGTGACATCGCCATATAAAAAGGAACAAGTATTAGTACTCCTATTTCTACTATTGAAGAATGTTGCAAGTTCAAATCCCTGCCAAATTACTAGACAGAAAATTAATATTCATCTTTAAGCAAAAAATAATATTGCTGCTTAGTATTACGGTTTAGTAGTATCCCTCTTCACTTATAAGTGATAGATCTTAAGTTCGATTCTCGCAAAAAAAGAATTTGAACCACATTATTGATAGCCCAGTGTGAGGCTTAATTCATTCCCCTACCCCTTGGTATGGATAATATCATTTATTAAAAATATATATATATATATATATATATATATATATTATTAAATCTGATTGTGTTTCCATTGACCAGTTGATCTAGCATAACCCATCTCCTCTTTGTTAGAGGAGATGATGGTTTTAAATTTCATCTGCCACATGGTTGAATTACTCGATATCACTAAACATGGTGCAACCAAAATTCAGTCTCCAAATTCCTTCGATATTATTCTTCTCAATCCATGAAAAAAAGTACACAGAATTTCAACATGTTTATAATAAAAGCGCTTCTGCCACAAGCGCTTATGAGTTGAAGTGCTTTTTAGAGAGACAATCCCAAATGGGCCCCTTGGTCACCAACTCAATACCAACAATAGCAATTTGTTTCCAGTGGAATTATGAAACCAGGATTTGTGAACTATTTGATTATAAAAGCAGTTTATCACCACACCATAAAAGCATCATCATGTACTGCAACTGCAAAAGACAGACCTTTTAAGTTGCATACGTAAGCCGAAAACGCTCTTCCAGGTAGTCCCCGCTGCGGACGGGAGGAAATCTGCAAGCAGAATTGGTAAATATTATCTACAGGGTAAATTGATCGAGCTACCAAACCAGTGTTTATAGAGTGGACCAACAAGGACGTTGGACACGAAAGCATGGTGATTTTCAGGCCACCAATGTTCTCATGTATAACATACAAAAAGATTTTCGGTTTTGTAAGCACAAGTTCTACGTCATGACATTTAGCAAAGCCTAACTATGACAGAGGTAAGCTAAAGCACTGTGTTAGGGTAACTGGAAATCAAATATGACACCCAAGAGGATAGTCATATTGCGGTTTATACCTTGCCGGTGATTCTTCACTGCAACAACTTTTCAGACATTCCACCACACAATCTTCATTGGGATCCATGAAGAAAGCCACCTGCAAATATTGAGACGTTTTTATTGTGAAGTACAGTCAGTATTATGAAAACCAAATAAAAATGGAACAATTGGTAAATGATTACGGAGTAGCGTTCTTGTCCTGCTGGCATCACTCTATGCAGTGTTGACCTACAAATAAATGACAGATGGGAAAATGTCTGCAGTCCTCAGAGTCCTAAATTTTAAAACATGTATAACCACTGTAAGAAGAAAATAACCTCAAAGTTAATAAAATGAAAAATTACCTGAACAAACAATTAGTCCACCTCTCCATCATGTCCCCAATGTTGACAATGAATGCCCTAGAGATTCAAATTTTTTTAATACCATCAGAAGGACAAAGTTACCGTTCGGTTATTCACAAACGCACTCTAGTAAACATGTAAGATGCCCGTAGGAAAACCAAAACAAAACACTGTTTCTAATGAATGGTATAAAAGTAACACAGCTATAGCGAGCTCTGAACTTTTAACCTCATGACCTAAATGTTCTCTATCTAACAAAGTGAATGGAACTCCATATCCATATTTTTCTTTTTTGAGGAAGCATTTCCATATTTAAACATCATATTGCATTACATTGTTGTATAGGGTCTTCCACATAAATGATTGAAGAATACAAGGGCACAAAATTATTTTAACAATCATATCATTGTTTCATGAAAATTCAAGATCTTGAATTTACCCATCTATGTGAAGAACATCTTCCCAGATTCGAGGTTGCTTAGATTTGTCCCTACAAACCTGTCAATTGTTAACAAGAAGTCACAGAAAAGAATATCATAATTGAGCTTGAAAGGGAACCACTAGGTGTTCGGTGCTAACAAAATCTAACAAACAAAAAGCATGCCTGAAGTCCAGGAACTCCATTGGATGCAAGGAGAGTGACCATGCCATAATCTGAATGAGCAGAAGCACCATATATTTCTTCGTCAGTTGATCCCAGCTCACCTGAAATCATGCATACCAAAACCATGAAAGCGAAGGAAAAAAAAAAAACAATAAAATACAGAAGATCAAACATATAAGAAATATTATTCAATAAATTACGAACACAAGAAAAGAAAAGGAGTGCTATATTTTAGCTGAAGAGTGCTACTACACCTGGATAGTGCAAAAGTCGAAGAAGACCCCTTGGTTTATTCAGTGCCCCCACTTTCTCGAAAAAGTCCTCATCCAGGTTTAAAGCCAGGGCAATCAGAGAGAGATTAATCTTTTTCCAGCAGACCTGAGACAGCATATCCAACACCAGAAATTCGTAGATGGGTGGTGCTATCCACACACCCCTCTCAATTTCCGGCCATTGGATCGAATGAATTGAAGAAGATCAATGGACAAAAATTGACAAGGGTGTATGGGAGGTAAAAAAGGGTGTGTGAATAGCACTACCCTTCATATGTATACATATACGTTTATAATGAAAAGCTCCTAAAAAACTATCAATTATCATTCCTGAACAACAGTTCTTACTTTACTAAATGCAGAATGCTGGGAAGTAAATTGTTACAACGGAGAATAGAACTTACAGGACTTTTCTATAGTACAATTCCATTGCAGGCCTCCAAGATGGCAGGATATCTGTACATTTTCTCCTCAACGAAAAATTAAGAAATTATGACGTAATCAAATGTAATACGGTACTCAACATCAAAAATTTCATTGTCAGGCAAGCTACCACACTTAACATTTGAAAATAGCTCCCATACCTTCTGGAGGCCATTGGTTCAAATTAATCAGAGTTGGGTCATCTAAAGAGCCAACATAAAAACTCTCTTTCGAGTCACCTATTTCACAGCCGACCCAAAAGAGATAAAATCAACATCCTTTCCCCTTTTCCATTCAG